CAGCAAAGTTCAAATATCGGCCCTCTCCTTACAGCCGCCTACTTGCCCTCCCTCAGGAAGCACAGAGGGAGGGAAGTGTGCAAAGAAAGACCTTGGGGAGCCTTTGCGCGTGTCCTCTCATTTACCAAATGGGAAGACGCTCTGTGGGGAACAGGACTGGCCTCATTCCACAGAAGAGATGGCAGAGTCTGGAGTAGAATCCGGGTCCCCTGATTCCCAGGCCCGTGCACCGAGGCTTCCTTCTCTGCCATCTCCCAGCCCCTCTCTTTGCCTTCCCTGATCTCCTCGAGCTCTTTAATGGGTCATCTGTTGGGACCTTTCATGACAAGATGCCATGCACGGCCTCCCCAGTTCCATTTATGTGTGGATCTCTTCTCTGGAAAGAACATAAGCATCTTAGAGACAGAGGCCAGGTTGTGACCTCTTTGGCGCTGGCTTGAAGTTGAGAAAAGAGCTGGGCTTTGAGTCCCTCGGATCTGGGTTCCAACCCTGCCTGTGTGGCCGAGAGCCTGCTGCTTATCACTGAAGTCAAGCGACTTTTCTTCCCCCTATTGCATTCCCCGACAGCACTAACAGTGGCCCCCTTGGCTGGACACCTAGAGAGCCAGGCCCTGTGCTCAGGACTTCACTGTTTGTGGTCCCTGGACAGTGGAATCTCTCATCCACAAGGTGTTGATTCCCTTACGAGTGGGCAGGATGCAGTCAGAAGAGAACCTGGATGGGGACAGGCATCCTATATCCTGTGCTTACCCACTCCTACCCATGCACTGATATGCTTGACTGCCCAGCCAACGCTTACTGAGCACAATAGTGTATGATGGGCACTGAGGCTCTGGGGGAGGTCATAGGCTTTGAGTCCCAGAGTCAGTGAAGCAATCAATGGGGAGCCCAGGCATTTTGTCTATGTTCTGTGCCGTGTGACAAGTCTTTGCCCTCTCTTCATCCTGGAGAGATCCTGGGTTCTCACTTCCCTGGGCTGTGGCGCCAGACAAGCTGGTCAAGGTAGGGGCCCTGGTGTTCTGGCCCCAAGCCGGGTCCTCAGCACTACTGAGTGCTAGGTCATGGTGAGTGTTCAGCTGCTGTTGGATGAATGGAGGAATGACCGAATTTCCCAGAATGCGCAGATGCTGCACCTAATCCCTTGGATTTTAACTAGCACAAGGGTTTGCTCTCTGCTGGCTGCCCCTTGCCAAGACACAGACTTCCCTCAGCCTGTTTTCTTGTATTTGGGCCACACCTGAGGCCCCCAGCTGGCGTTCGGTCTCCTCCTGCAGGCATAGGCTGCCCAGTGCCAACTGCACCTTGCATCTCTCCCCAACCTCCGCCCCCTGCCGCTGTCTCCCGCTCCCTGCCCTCCATCCCGCCACAGGCTCCCGCCAAACCAGCCCACATGGCCTGGTTTTGTTCAGCCACCTCAGTTGCAGGCAGACCAGTCCAGCCAGGTCTCCCAGCCTGCTTCACACACTCCTTTGAAGCCTTGACAGGCAGCCAACCAAGCTGGCCCGAGCACGCAAGGCAGGGTGCTGGTGCCGGCGCCCTGGCAGCTGCTTCCCGCCTTTCTGGCTCCTGGGACCTGGCTGCTCCCAGGCCCATTCATATGGGGACAGGAATGCCCAGACCTTCTCCTCGGCTGGCATGGGCATTGCATCCAGGGCTGCCGGCTGGGGCTGTTCCCACAGCCCAGAGTCCTTTCCCAGGCTCCCCGTTCTCCATAGTGAAGCCCTGTAGTTCGTCCCAGGCTGTGCAACCCACAGCCTCAGTCCCCACAAAGGAGAACTGGCAGCAGGAATAGCTTGGCTGAGTTCTGAGCTCTCCAAGGAGAGGCAGGGCTGGGCAGAAGGTAGGAGCACAGACTTTGGCTTCAGCCAAAAGATTCAATCAGATGCAAGATTCAGTGTGTGTTGAGCGCCTCACTCTGCCATCACTAGCTAGGGACCTATCTGCTTTGTGCCTCAGTTTCCTCTTCTATAAGTGGGTAGCACGGAGCACCCAGTTCACTGGCACAGTGAAGGGTGATAAATACCATAGGTTAGCACATTGCAAGCTAAGCCTTCAACATGAGTTGCTGGGGGAACGCTGTGATCATGTGGGGATCTTCATTCCAGCAGCTGAGGAGTATTGGAGCCTAAAAGACTCTCAAATGCAAGAGGGGTCTCCTCTTCCTATTTTTAAATTTTTAAATGTTATTTATTATTGTTTTTGGAACAGTGTCTTGTTTTATCACCCAGGCTGGAGTCCAGTGATGTGATCTCAGCTCACTGCAGCTTTGACCTCCCAGGCTCAAGCAATCCTCCTGCCTCAGCCTCCAAGTAGGTAGAACTACAGGCACACACCACTGCGCCTGGCTAATTTTTTATTTTTTTGTAGAGATGGGGTCTTACTACATTGCCCAGGCTGGTCTCAAACTTCTGGACTTAGGTAATCCTCCCACCTCAGCCTCCCAAGTAGCTGCTGGGACTACAGCACCCCCACCATGGCTGGCTGATTGGCTGGCTAATTTTTTATTTTATTTTTTGTAGAGTGCAGAGGCTCTGTCACTGCTTACTGCAGCCTTGACCTCCTGAGCTCAAGCAATCCTCCCACCTCAGCCTCCCAAGTCGCTGGGACCACAGGTGCACACCACCAGCCTCAGTTAACTTTTTTATTTTTTATTTTTTTGCTGTAAACGAGGCCTTAATGCATTGCCCAGGCTGGTCTTGAACTCCTGGGCTCAATCAACCCGCCTACCTCAGCCTCCCAAAGTGCTGGGACTACAGGTAGGAGCCATGGCGCCTGGCCTCCTATTTTCTAAATTTCGAGAAATAGTGCATGATTACAGTACAATTTAGGAAATTCAGATAAGTAAAAGAAAACTTACAAAATACCTGTTGCTGGATGTTGTGGCTTGCGCCTGTAATTCCAGCAATTTGAAAGGCTGAGCTGAGGGGACCGCTTGAGCCCAGCAGCTTGAGACTAACCTGAGCAACAGAGTGACACCCTGTTTTTACACATTAAAAAAAAAAAAAAAATTAACCGGATGTGGTGGTGGGTACCTGCAGTTCCAGCTCCTTGGTGGCTGAAGAGGAAGGATCCCTTGATCCTGGGAGTTAGAGGCTGCAGTCAGTTGTGACTGTGCCAGTGCTCTCCAGCTCAGGTGACAGAATGAGATGCCATCTTAAGAAAAAGAAAAAGAAAAAAAAATGTGTTATCCAGCAACGTATATACCCGTGTGTGCACATTTGCAAACACGTATGCATACCCCTACACATGCTAGAATTGCCAGTTTATAATGATATGTAATAATAGTTTCTGTGGACATAACAGTGCATACCTATTATATACATGTGTAATGCATTTTGTATATGTTTCATATATGTTTCATTTCATATTAAATACATGTTTCTGCATATACATGTATTTGAATAAGTGAAGAATAGGCTCCTCTGGTTTTGTAACTGGCTTTTGTCATTGAATATAAGTTGAGTTTTGTTTTTTCTCTGTTAGGAAGTTTTTCGACATGGAAGTATTTCAAAGCCACCTGGTATGTTATAACACAAATATGTTATATCCATTTTACAAACATGTTACGTCCATTTTACAGTTGAGGATGTGGAAATGCTGAGATGCAACATAAGATCTCCAAAATTTCTCAGCTACTTGGGGCACAGCTGACAACAAGAAGCTTCTGGGAAGGCTTTTGGAGTTCCCCAAGGCATAGTCAACAAGAATGCAAGTTCCTTAAGAACAGGGACCGTGTGCCTCACTGATTGTCATCTCCCCAGCACCTGCGCAAAGTGGGCATTCTGTTAGTAGTTACTGAATGAACAGACACAGGAAGTTCAGTCTTCTGTTTTGATCTATTTCTTGCTCAAATCTCATCACAGCACTCAACATGTCTTTCCACATGGCCCCCTCACTAGCCTGTGTACCCCTCAAGTCAGGACCATGTCAGATTGTCTTTGAATCCCTCAGCCCCAGTCCCAGGGCAGGTGTTCAGTCAATGAATATTGAATTATGGAAACAGGGATCTCTCCATTCTGGATTCAAGACGGCACCCTCCCTATGAAGTTTTTCTGAGCTCTTTCACGCCAAAGTTCTTCAAACCATTGTGTTGACAGCTATCTGCCTGCTGCCCTCAGTCCAGGAGCAACTTGGACATCAGCCCTGCCTCTCACACTGGGGTTGGCGCACCTGGCCTGTTCCAGGAAAGAGCACAAGGCTGAGGGTTAAGTAACACCTGGAGTGGTTAGGAGGCTGGGCACCTCCTCCTTGTGAATCTCCCGGGCTGTGTGGCGGGTGGCAGGTGACTGGCAGGGGAGGGACCCTTGGCACTGCTCTGGCATTGTATTTGCTGCCAGCGGGGCCTTTGATGCCCCAGGGGCTGCTCACCCAGCCAAGGGCATTGTAGAACACAAAAGCTGCAGAAGGCAGCACAAATAAGTGAAAACGACCCAGGAACTGCCAGGGAGCTTGTCAGTCTGTTTCCTGATTATAGGTATGGGGTGTAGGGAGGCACGGGGAGCATTTCTGGGCCCTGTGATTGCCTGCACGTTGCACGGGCCCCTGGTACTGTGTACAAAGCATTCACCTGGAAGCTAAGCAAGGCTCTTCACCTTGCAAAACTGACTGAATGAGTCCAAACTCTTAGAGTTTTTGTGAGGATTAGATAGGACGATAAGTTAAATTGCCTGCTGTCTGTGTGAGCATCAGATAATAGTAACAGCACTGGTAGTAATAACAGTAGCAGCTAATACGTTCTGAGCACTTCATAGGTGCCAAACGCTATTTCAACTGCTTCTTATGTTAATTCATTCCATCTTCATAAGGACACTAGAGGTAGATACTACCGTTACCTTCATTCTATAGATGAGAAAACCGAAGCTCAGAGATGTTAAGTAACTTCCTTAAGATCTGGAATTTGACCCTGGCACTCTGGTTGTGAAGCACTGGTCTATAGTTACCTTGCTACGATTTCTTCCCCCTAATCTTGGGATATTTTGTTCCCCTAATTATTATGATAGTGAGGACAATCATGTGATGATGACGATGATGATGACAAGGACAGTGATGGCAGTGGTGACGGAGGAAGACCTGCCTTCATTTTGTGTAGTGATCTCCTTCTTGCTGGCATTTCAAATTCATTTTCATTGTTGATTCTGAGAGCAAGCCTTGGAGGGAGAGTAATTCTGAAATCCGAGGAAACTGGGCCTTAAGGGGCTGCTGAAGACCCATGTAGTCATGCGGTGGAGTCTGTGAGGCCCAGAGCTGAGGGGGAGGTCATGGGCCTAGAAGTTGTCGCAGCCCGCACTGCTGTGCCTGCAGCTCTGCATCCTGACTGTGTCAGCAGGCCCAGAGCTGCTGGAACCTGTGGGGCTACAGTGAGAAGGGTGGGAGGTTGCCTTACTCCTGTTGCCTTCATGAACATGGGTTGTTCCCTCAGGACAGGAAATTGAGGCTGTTCCCCTGACCGCTCCAGACAGCTCAGTGATGACCTCACCCTGTCATGAAGATGGTGGATCACAGCTACCATTCGCTGTGTGAGACCTTCATTTATTTCCTTTAATCTCATCAGTAGCCCTGGAAGAGGCATATTATATTTCTATCATGGTGTACCATAATTGCATCAGTTATTTTTTGACACGGTAATGCCGAGTAACAACTACAGAATCTGAGTGGCTTTCAGTAGTAAGCATCTGTTATCTACACATCTGGGGAGACTGGCTGAGCAGCCCTGCCAGTCATGGCTGGACTGCCTCTATGTCTGGAGTATGGCTGCCCGGTGGCTGATGTGATTTTCCTGGAGTGGCTGGGGGGTCTCCACTCTGCTCTCTGGGTCTTTCATCTCCTTCTGGAACCAGCAGACTAGCTGGGGAAATGTCCTTCTTATGGTGAAAAGCACAGAGCAAGAGCAAGACCACCCCAAAGTGAGCAAGCCCTTTCCAAGCTTCTGCCGGCCTCTCTTTAGCTAGCACCCCATTGGCTGAGACAAGTGACCTCCCCACGCTGAGGGTCAGAGTGGGAAGGCACTGCAGGGGTGCATGGTAGAGGGTGAGGGTGCAGGTGGGGCGAGGAGTTAGGAGCTGTATGCACTTGATCACAGGTAATGTCATCTCACGTGTCCTCAGACTTCTCTGAGCTTTGCTCTCATCCTTACTTAAAAATAATTGCATCATTAGAAGGAGAGACTAACAATGACTGAATACCCAACAATCCACTGAAGGAGGTCAGTGGTATGACTCTCTGAGGCTCTATGGGACCAGGGGGCTTTATCAAGGTTGCTTAACGGAGCAGTGGCTCATCCAGGATTGGAATGTCACCTGCCTGGTTCGTGTGTGTATGTGCAGGTGTGTGTGTACACGTGTGTGTGTGTGTGTGCATTTGCGTGTGTGCATGTGTGTGCGTGTGTGCGTGCATGTGTGTGAGTGTACCCACACCTGTGCCCAGGTCAGACTTCTGTGACTCTTGCAGTCAATTCTCCCTCACAGTGTTGCTTGGGTGTTGGAGGCTGGAAGGAAAAGAGGCTTTAAGAGAAAGAAATTGTGACCTCTTTTTCCACAGGCTTCCCACAGCTTCTCCCTGGGTGGCCACCCCAGGGGCTAGAACATAGCAGAGGATTTTTCGTGAAATCTTTGGAGTTGTCAGAAGAAGGTCTTTTGAGATAGGTCATGGAGAAATGAGGCCCCTGAATCATAAATTAGCCATAGTATGCAGGCTGGGGCCTCACAGGTTCAGAGAAATGTCCAGCCTTGAGAACTGAAACTGACTTGGGGCTCTGAATTTGACGATGGCCTTGAAGTAAGGCATTCCTCCTTGTGTAGCTGGAGCTGTTTCCCCTTCTCCTTTGTCTCCCTTCGCCATGGCACAGCCCCAGGGAGTCCAGATGCCAAATTAAGTCTTCGGCCTGTATCCTGAATCCATTCCCTTAGGAATACTTTTCTTCCCTTGCCTGCCTCTCCACACTTGCTTCCCCGTGTCAAGGAGACCCGTCTGAAAGTGATTCCTGGGTGGCCAAAGTCAGAAGGCTGGGAATCCAGCTGCTTTGCCAGCCACCTCCCCAACCTGGCGAGCTGTGAGCTTACAGGTGGTACCATCTGCACTTTTTGTTTTTTTTTTTACCCTGACCTTTAGCCTAATAGAAGTGCAGGGCAGAGCTTTGAATGGGGGGAGATAGAAACAAGATGTTCTCTTCCTCCCTCACTCCCTCTATTTTCTCCTTCTCTTCTTCCTCTTTCCCTCTCTGCGCTTATTCTATGCCAAACATCAACCCAGGGGTGTATTTATCTTTCCCAGTGAACTAAAGGTTTACAAGGAGGATGTGCTTTTCTCTACAAGGACCGGTATTCTCTTCCTCCTGGAAAACTGTTCATCCTTCTGGATCTGGGGGAAGAAGCCCGTTTCCCACAAGACTGTTCTCACCACCTGGACTCTTCATTCTGGAACATCACACTTTCAGGGCTTTGTTCTGACCTAGAACAAAGCTGTTCTCTCTCTTTGTGTGTGTGTCCACTGAGCCATTTGAAGGCGGTGACCGTGGCTCTTTATCTCTGTGTCCTCTGTGCCTACTGCAGTGTCAAACACGGCATGGAAGCTAAACGTGCATGTGCAACATGGAACAAATGTCGGTACAGGCAGGGACACCCTTAGTTCAGCAGGGAGCTTGGGCTCCAGATCACTCAGCTCTGGCTTGGAAGCCGGAACATCTGGCTCTGTCACAGCACAGACAGGACGCACGGCTCCATATACACAGTTTATTCTTCACACTTGGCAAATGTATGCCAAAGCTAAAAGAGCTCTACCTTAGAGTCTGACAGATTGAGATATGCATCCTTGCTCTGCCTTTTCCCAGCAGGGGACTTTGAGTAAGTTACTTTACTGCCGCCTTTGCCACGGTTTCCCCATCTGTGAAATGAACAGAGAAACACTTGCTTTGACTGATCTGCTGAAAAGAACAGAGATTATATTTGCAAAGTCCTGGCATGAGCAGTAGCTATTATGGCTATTTTATTTATCCTGAAAAGGAACTGCTCGTAACATCATGTGCCGGGCAGGGGTAGGGGGCAATAAAAGCATTTGTGGCAAGGATCCAGTTATTCGCAGGCTTCTCTTCTGTCTGGCTTTGTTTACTGTCATGCAGGAAAAGTGCCTTCACCGTGGCACAGCAGTAAACCTGTTGGCTACTTTAGCCCCGCCTGGGTTCCCAGGAAATTGGCAGGAGAGGAGCTGCCTGCTGCTTGTGGGCCTGCTGTTTGGGCTGCAATCGCTGTGGGAACACACAGGGTTAGGAAAACAAACACATGACTCACGGAGGACTTCCAACCTCAAGCCAATGAGGCGCTGACACCTTGCAATTTCTAAGGGTTCCCAGTAGATATGCATGTGTCTGCTCAGCCTTCCTTGGACCTGAGCCTGTCTCTCTCTGCTCTCACACTCTGTGGGGGGGCGAGGGGGTGGAATGCTTGTGTTCCTACCCTTCTTCTCTCCTTCTGCATTTACGGAGCCTGGCGAGGTGCTGGGAATGTGATGAGACATAGTGCAGAGCACAGACAAGTCAGCACATGTGGTCCACTGGACAGCAGCCCCCCCGAAGATGACCACACTCCCTGAGACCTTTGACTGTGACCTCATGTGGCAAAAACGACTTTGTCGATGTGATTAAGTTAAGGGTCTTGAGATGGGAAGGCTATGCTGAATTTCTCAGGTAGACCCAAAGTAATCACAAAGTTACTTATTAGTGGTTCCTTATAACAGGGAGGCAGAGGGAGACTGACTACCTGAGAGGAGACGGTAGACTGAGACTGACTACCGAGATGCGACCACGGAAGCAGAGGTTGTAGTGATGCAGCCAGGAGCCAAGACATGCTGGCAGCCTCTGGAAGTGGAAGCCAAGAAATTGATTTTCCTTTGGAGCCTCCAGAAGGGCCCAGCCCTGCTGGTGCCTTGCTTTCAGTTCTTTATGACTTGTTTCAGCTTCCGACCTCCGGAATGATAAGAGAATAAATTTATGTTGTTATTAGCCACCAAGTTTGTGATTATTTGTTACAGCAGCAAGAGGAGCTAATACAGTGTGTCCCTGCCATATTCTAAGTGTTAACACCACTTCCCTAATGATGAAGGAGACCGAATGGCTCGGTGGTTCCAAGCTAGACCCCTGGAGTCCCAGTGCTTTGTTTCAAGTTCACGTCCACCTTTTGTTGGTTAAGGGGCCTTTTGCCATGTTGCTTCTCAAAGCCCCACGTTCATCTGTCATCAGTAAAATAAGGGTAATAGTAATTTCCATCTCATGTGTGGTGATGAGGACTGAGCTGTGAAACGCCAGTGAAGTTCGCTGTCTGGAGCACAGTCTGTACCCCAGCATCTTCCTCCTGTGCCTTGGCTCCTGCGCCTCGTCATCGACAGGAAGGCACCAGATGCTGGAGACCCACTCAGCAGGGATGCCGCAGTGCTGGGCAATGTCGGGAGAGGTTTTCTGGGGTGGGGCTTGTGGATGGGAAGATTGACAGGACACTTAGTAGTTTTGGCTCTTCTCAGTCACTCACTCCTGATCCTCACAGGCACTGACGTTCACAGGCAGCCTCAGTTTACCTCTGCAAGTTATTCATGGACATACATCATTCTTTTACTTAGTAAACAGGAATCTTGCCCCTGCCATGTACCTGCCAGTCATCGCAGGAGTGAGTAGAGTGGATGGAAGCTGCTGCAGGGTTATCACGCCTGGGCTTTGACAGAAAGGTACTAGAAGGCTGTCAGCAGCTCCTGGAGGACAGCTGAGCAGGTGACTGTTAGAGAAACCCGAGGCTTTGGTAAGACCAGGACTTGGCCACAGCGTGCTGTTCCATTTCTGCCTATCCCTGCTGCATTGAGGATGCAGCCTCCAGGCCCGCCATGGGTTCAGGCTCTTTCCCTGGGACGTTCGGGATGGCTTTGATGCTCTTTGGTTTATCACACTTGCTATTGAGATTCTCACCAAATAGCTGCCTGGGCCCCTCTTCTCCTGGGCAGTTAGCCACTGCCACTGCCACTGCCAGAGGTCCAGAGAAGGAGGCTCTCCCAGGCAGTGGGAGGAGGCAGGGATGCCCAATACCCAGCACTTCTGGGGCTGGGCACTGTGCTGGGCCTTAGGCACTGCGATCACCCCACCTCTGAAGGGCAGGGGACACTGGGCTCATTTTACCGCTTCCCCACCTGTCTTTCAGTTGGTTACGGGGCATAAAGCCCATCTGTTTTTATTTTGCACATACATTCAGAGGGGAGTAATCATCATCACTGCTTCCCACATGGGGAAACTGAGGAACAGAGAGGCTGACTGACTTATGGTCACACAATGAGTAAGAGGTGATCTCAGATGAGATTCTCTGATTTATGCTTTTAATAGATTTTTTCAGGTGTGGGTTTGCGGGAGCTTGCTTTGATTGCTGTAGAGAATGTTCTTTTCCCCACCTGGAAATGCCGTTGTCACTGTTACTGTGTTGTTGCAGTTTGTTTGCATTCCTGAGACCATGTCAGCAAAGGGCTTGGTGAGGGCGGTTCGGGGCAGCCTTGAAGCATCTGGCCTGTAAGAAGAGTCCATTCTGAGGGAGGATCTCAATGCATTTTTTTTTTTTTCAAAGGGAGTCTTGCTCTGTCGCCCAGGCTGGAGTGCAGTATGGAGTAATCTTGGCTCACTGCAACCGCCGCCTCCTGGGTTCAAGTGATTATCCTACCTCAGCCTCCTGAGTAGCTGGGACTACAGGTGCCTGCCACCACACCCGGCTAATATTTGTATTTTAGTAGAGACAAAAATTATTTTTTTATGTGTATTTTCACATGTATATTTTCACTAGGTCAAGCTGGTCTCGAACTCCTGACCTCAAATGATCCACCCAGCTTGGCCTCCTAAAGTGCTGGGATTATAGGTGTGAGCACTGCACCCAGCCTTCAATGCATGTTTTAGCATAAATACGTGCTAGGCTGGCTGTGCCCACAGACAGAAGGGAGTACCCAAGCATCCCAGTTTCTCTACCCTTGCCGAGAAGGCTGGGCTCTGAACCCCATGCCTCAGTGGGACCCAGAGCTGCTCAGGAGCACACGAAGCTCAGTCTCTGCCCCTGCCTTCCAGGTAAACACAAAGGCCGCTGGCGTTGGTGGCTGAGAGCCCACCAGCGCATTGAGCTCAGTACCATTCCTGGTGTTGGTGGGGGGGTGACGGTGCAAAATCACCCTTGATGAAGAACGACCGGTGTAGTCTAGTGAGTCCCAACATTTGCAATACCAGAAATCCCTTTTACTGATTCTCCTTCCCTGGGCGGGAGTTTATCAGCCCAACAAACTTCATGGTTATGTATTTATTTCTCCACTTTCTCATCTAAAAATACCTGCCAGTGGGAGTTTCTGATCCGGGTCACCAGGCTGCGTTGCTAAAATTCGGGCCAGTATCAGGCAAAGACACTTGATATTTTAGGTGACAACTGTGACCTTATTTGGGAAAAAAAAAGGTGCAATTTCTGGTAGACTTCTTGACCCTTTGAAAAATAGCCTGAGGACCCCCTTAGAGGAGGCCTGAGATTGGAATCCCTGGTATAAACTTTCATTTTGCTGTGTGGAATTAAGAATTTGGATCAAATGTCCATGGAAGCTTCCTTTGAGTTCCACGTTTCCCCCAGAGCCTCTGTCCTGTCTTGTCCCCTTTTGGCGTGAGCGGTGTCATTATTCAGCACATATTTATTCAGTGATCACCACATGCCTGGCACTTCCCTGGCTGCGAGGTTGCCGCGGTGAACAGCAGATGCAGGCATGGTCCTAATGGGGTCTGTAGCCAAGTGAGGGAGGCTAAGAAAGAAAGAATGTCATTTGCAGCCGCAGTAAGTGCTGAGAGGGAGGTGTGGCACGTGAATGGGCTTCAGGGTGCTGGTCTCCGGAGTAACGAGCCCCTGTAAACGATCAAGCCACCCATTTCCCAGCTCTGCCTGTTGCCCAGCTTCCACTTGGCCCCTTCAGGGTCATTTAGCAGATTCATTGACAGGGCCCGGTTCCTGTTACTTGACTCCTTGGGGACGGAATCCTTTATTGCTTGCAAAAATACTCTCTGCAGTAGGTTGTGTCTTACTAATTGAGAGGGGTTCTGAGAAGCGGAGCAGCCCCACCTCACTAGATTCAGTGAGAGAAGGCCCTATAGGTACCTTGACCCTGACGTGGTGGACAAAGCACCCTGCTGAGAGCTGGGCAGGTCTTCGGAAGGAGATTTAATGTTCTGCAATAGGAGAGATGATAGTTCCTCTCTCCCTCTCCAGATGTCTGCAGCCAAGTCGTCGGAACACAGAAGGGACCTTGCAGCCATTGTGTCTTTGTGCTCTGGTTCTGTCTGAGGGAGGGAAGGGAGGCAGGAGGAGGGGAGAGACGGATCAGCTGCATTTGCCAAGCCAACCTCCTCAGCACTGGGTGTCCCTCCTCTTGGCCACTGGAAGGCTTTCTTCTTCCTGGCCACGATCAAACACCGTTTCTTCTTTCTGCCTTTGTTCCCTGTGAGTCCGTGACTGTTGCTGTGTGAAATAGTAGCCGCTTGGCAGGGGAGTTCATGGAGGTTGCAGAGCACCTTCTCAGGTTCCTGCCTCTCCTCCGTTCCCCCTTCCTCCCTCCTGCCACCTTTCCTTACCTGGCAGTCATCTAATTCTTCTCTTTTAGAATACGGTTCAGAAAACAATCCACACCAGCTGCCTTGGGGAATCCTCCAAAGAGACAAATTCTACCCTGTGCCCACCTCTCCTCTAGGTAGTACCTTTCAGTGCTCCCTCCCTCCCCTCCTGTTGTCCTCAAGTGAATGCCCCAAATGGCCCTTGCTCAGCCTCTAAGGCCCTGGTGGGTGCTGCTTCCCTTTGTAGCTGGGTGGGTTTCAGGAAATGCCCCATCTGGGCATGAGAGATGGGCAACCATACCTCAGGGGAATTGGTGGCGGGGAAGAAAGTCTAGCCAAAAAGGCAAAAAGGACAGGGATGAGATGGCTCAGAGGGAGTCATGGTAAGGACTTGGGCTCTTTCTCTGTTGAGAGGGGACCGTCGGAAATTTTTAAAAGATTCTGATTTGCATTTTACTCAGATCCTTCTGGCTGCTGTGTTGAAAGTGGGCTGGAAGTGGCAAAGGTGGAAAGACAGGCTGATCAGGAGGCTATTGCGGAAAACCAGCGTATGGCAGTAATCCTGGCCTGGGGCATGCAGAGGAGATGGGAAGACCTGATCAGATTCAGAATGTATCTCAAAGGTAAGATTTGCTGGTGGATTGGCTATGGCGTGCCAAAGAAATATGACCCCCATTGTTGTTTATCTCCTGCAACTACAGAATGAAGTTTCCGTATATTGATATCAGCGAATCCTCAGATTGAGCAGGAGTGCCTATTTGTTTGTTTGTTTTTTGGACAGAGATGGAATTGTTATGTTTGAGTTGTTGGTCAGACCTCCAAGTGGCGGCAGTGAGGAGGCAGCTGCATGTACAGATCCACAGCATCCACGTGGCCAGGCCATGGCACTCAGACATGTGATCAAACACCAGTTTAGATGTCATCATGGAGTTTGTTTTGAATGAGGTTAACATCTAAGTAGACATTGAGGAAGGGACATTACCCTCCACAATGTGAACAGGCCTCATCCCATCAGTTGAAGAGTTTTTTTTTTTTAATTGCATTTTAGATTTTGGGGTACATGTGAAGAACATGCAAGATTGTTGCATAGGTACACACATGGCAGTGTGATTTGCTGCCTTCCTCCCCATCACCTATAACTGGCATTTCTCCCCATGCTCTCTCCCCCCAACTCCCCAACCCCCACTGTCCCTCACCTATTTCCCCCCGACAGACCCCAGTGTGTGATGCTCCCCTCCCTGTGTCCATGTGTTCTCATTGTTCAACACCTGCCTGTGAGTGAGAACATGCGGTGTTTGATTTTCTGTTCTTGTGTCAGTTTGCTGAGAATGGTGGTTTCCAGGTTCATCCATGTCTCTGCAGAGGACATGAACTCATTGTTTTTGATGGCTGCATAGTATTCCATGGTGTATATGTGCCACATTTGCCCTGTCCAGTCTATCATCGATGGACATTTGGGTTGGTTCCAAGTCTTTGCTATTGTAAACAGTGCTGCAATGAACATTCGTGTGCATGTGTCCTTACAATAGAAAGATTTCTAATCCTTTGGATATATACCCAGTAATGGGATTGCTGGGTCAAATGGAATTTCTATTTCTAGGTCGTTGAGGAATCGCCACACTGTCTTCCACAATGGCTGAACTAATTTACACTCCCACCCACAGTGTAAAAGTGAGTTGAAGGGTTTAAGAGTAAAAAGGCTGAGGAAGTGGGAAGTGGGAATTCTGGCTTCACACTGCCTTTGGACTCAAGCTGCAGTATCAGCTCTTCCTGGGGGCTCCAGCTTCCTGGCCTGCCCTGCAGAGTTTGGACTTGCCAGCCTCCATAATCACATCAGCCAATTCCTTAAAATCTCTCTCTTTCTGTCTCTCTCTTTTCACATACACACATTCTACTGATTCTGTTTTTCATGAAAATCCTAACACATGGAGTACAGGGATACATTTGGATATCCAAAACTTATGCAAAAATGGAGATTCGGATTTGGATTTGTAAGTTATGTAAGCCTTAAATATGAGCGTGATCATCAAGAGGCCATCGTGGGCAGAGAGGAGCAAGTCCACGGGGCTGCACAGCACAGGTTAAGAGATTCAGAAATTATGTGTGTATGTTTGTGTGTATTTTATGTGTTTGTGTGTGAGTGCTTGTGTGTTTGTGTTTCGTGTTTTTGTGTGTGTGTTTGTGTGTGTTGTTTGTACTTGTGTGTTTGTATATGTACATTTGTGCTTGTGTATTTGTATGTGTATTGTGTTCATGTGTTTGTGTGTTTTGTGCTTGTGTTTGTGTGTATATGTTTGTGCATATATGTGGTTGTGCTTGTATGTGTGCGTGTTTTGTACTTGTGTGTGTTTGCATATGTTTGTATACTTGTGTGTTTATTCTTTTGTGTTTGTGTCTTGTGCTTGTGTGTGTTGTTTGTGTGCATGTGTGTGTTTGTGTGTGTGCTTGTGTGTGATTATGTTTATGTGCATGTGTGTGTGCATACGTGTTTCCGCTTGTATATGTGTGTGTTTCTGCTTGTGTTTGTGTTTTGTGCTTGTGCTCGTGTATGTTGTCTGTATGTGTTTATGTGTGTGTTGTGTGTTGTGGGCCTATGTTTGTGCATGTTTGTGCATGTGTGTTTATGCTTGTGTTAATGTGTTGTGCTTGTGTGTTGTTTGTATATGTTTGTGCTTTTGTGTTTGTGCGCATATGTGTGTGTGTTGTTTGTGTGCATGTGTGTATGTATTTGTACTGGTGTGTTTGTGTGCATGTGTGTATGTTTCTGTGTGTTGTTTGTATGCATGTGTGTGGTGTGCATGTGTGTTTGGTGAATGTGTGTGTATTTTGTGTGTGTTTATGTGTGTGCGTTTGGTGTGTGTGTGTGTGTGTGTGTGTGTGTAGAGGTTGCTGAACACTAGCTATGTGTCGAGCATCCCACATTACTAGATGCTACCTCTTCTTAAAGCAGTTTGATGTCTTCATGGAGAGCCATCTATCTCCTTACATTTTCTGGAAGTTTGGGAGGGATTCTCATGGGGCCACCTATTTATTTGACTGATGCTTTGCAGTTCCTGTGTCACAGTCCCTCTAGTGTTCTGGGCAGCAGACTGACATCCAGTCATTCCTACTCTTGTGTCAGAAATTGATTATTCCAGCATCTTCCTTCCAGGCTATTCTCAGTTCCCCTAACCTCCAGTCTCTTGAAGCTATTTAGCGTCCCTCGGTACTGAGTAATCCCGTTTATGAAAGCATATGAAGCTTCCTTACTGGCAAGCGTTGGTACAAATAGTTTTGCAGCCCCAAGGGATAGGGTCATTTGAACTTGGTGACTTGAAAAACACTTGGTGTGAATAATGTGAAGTGCAGGACTATGGTGATGAATTTCCCTCACTCTCTTTGTTCTTTGTTTTCTTTGTAAGGCAGAATGTTTAACCCACGTTTTCCAAGAACTGGGTAGGTAGGTTGCTGGGGACAATTGATTTTTAGAGAAGTATTGTTTCTCTGGATGTGGAAACTAAGAAGCAAAGAATAATATTGAGCAAGAGTCGTCCTGATGACCAGGCCTAGGCTAATTATGGCAATAGTGTTGCAATGTGTTTGGACCATCATGCAGTACAAAAGCACCACTTCTCCCCAAGGTGCCCTGGACCCAGGGTCATCCTCAGGGCCTTGCTCTAGCCCCATGTCACCCAATGTCAAGCTGGATCATCTACTGTCTAAGTCTGTTATTGATGCTAAAGGGGTGGGATCACCCCTTCTTCTTTAAAGCAGTGGGATCACCATCTATGAGGAGATTGGACTAGGTGGTTATTTTATTTTAAGACAAGCTGTCACTTTGTCGCCCAGGCTGGAGTGCAGTGGCGCGATTTTGGCTCACTGCAACCTCTGCCTGTGGGGTTCAAGGAATTCTCATGCCTCAGCCTCCCAAGTAGCTTAGAATTACAGGCGTGCACCACCACACCTGGCTAATTTTTGTATTTTTAGTAGAGACAGGGTTTCACCATGTTGGCCAGGCTGGTCTTGAACTCCTGGGCTCAGGTGATCTGCCTGCCTCAGCCTCCCACAGTGCTGGGATTACAAGTGTGAGCCAGTATGCTTATCCTTGGACTAGGTGGTTTCTGAGCAGTGGGGATGGGTCAATGGGAGGGTGCCTTCCCTAAATAAAGAGGCCAGCTCTCCCTTGGCATCCACTTGCTGTTGTATTGTGGGAGGGTGGGTTCAGTGCCACCAAATTAATTTTTGTATTTTGAATATAATGAAAGTTTCTGAATTTTGGATGTAGGCAATAACTTCAAAAATATTTAAAATACCCTGTGGGTGAAATCTGTAGCTGGATAAAGCCCGCAGGACTTTACTTTGCGACTCGTATTCATGCATTGCTCCCCATGGCTTATCACAGGCTGGGGGCCAGGAGGTGTGGGAAGCTCTTTTGATTTATTTTGTTTTGAAGTCAGTGTATCTTCAAGGAACTGAGAGAGCAAAACCCGACTGGAGCTGGGTTGCAAGATGCTGTTGGCTAGAGACTTAGACAGAGCGCGTGGCATTCTCTCCCTCATGGAGGGAGATGCCTACAGCGGGAGCCTCAGCAGCTGAGCCCCTCAGGCTTGATCCCTGGGTCCTCCACCCGCTGTCCGTGGCTCTGTGGACTCCATGGCATTCAGAGCTGGGGGATATCAAGTCTTTCAACATCTTAATTTTTTCAGTGAATTATTATATTTTGGAGATCTTTGTGTGTGCATATGTATGAATGTGTACACTTACATTATTCTTTTTTAACTGCTGTAGAGTATTAATTAAGTTATTTTCCCCAACTATTTCCGACACATGCACACACACATGAACAAGAAGGGCAAACGTCTTGCCTTTTTTTAAAAAAAAAAGACAGGGTCTTGCTCTGTCATCCAGGCTGGAGTGCAGTGGTGTAATCATGTTTCACTACAGCCTTGACCTCCTGGGCTTAAGTGGTCCTCCGACCTCAGCCCCCCTAAGTAGCTGGGACTGCAGACATGCACCATCACATCTGGTTAATTTTTTGATTTTTTTTTTTTTTTTTGGTAGAGAAGGGATGTCACTTTGTTGCTCAGGCTGGTGTCAACCTCCTGGGCTCAAGCGAAGCTGCTGCCTCAGCCTCCCAAAGTGCTAAGACTACAGGCAGAAGCCACCACACCTCGCCCCAAACATCTTATCAGACAAGCCTTTCTTGGCCACTCTCTGCAGACAGCACCCACCTCACACCCCCGTCTTCCTTTTTGTTTCTATCTTGATTGATCTCCATGGCACTTATCACCATCTGACCCACCATATAGTTACTTGTTTATTTGTTGACAGTCTGACACCCCCATCTCTTCATGAACCCCAGGAACGTAGAGACTTCTTGTTAATTTTATTAAGTGCTTTATTCCCTGGGAAATGGTAAGTACCTACTAAACATTTGTTAAATGCATACGTCTCTATTGTAAAGATGACCTCCAGGCCCAGCCTCAGGTACAGAGAGGTAAAGTAACTTACTCAAAGTCACCCAGCTAATGACAGACAAATCTGGGCCCAGAGCCCATGCTCTAATCTAAATCTTACTACCTCTCTGCTGGTGACAAACAAAACCTCAGCGATGTGCCTGTAACACAGTCAGGACTCAGTCCAT